GTCTTATACAAATATGAATGTATTATACGTAGCTAACTAATAAATTAGCCGAAATATTAAGAGTTCCTAAACTTATATTAATGGTACTACTGCTGGATCAATTACAAATTCAAAAATCACAATTGTCGTTGACGAAACGTTGATGAGTACTTACTTAGAGTTAACTTTGTGTTTATTGTACTGTAACTCAAAACACAACGTTTAGGTTTTCTTTCACTCACAAGGGTGATCCTGTATTTATAAGCATTTGAAGAATATGTAGCATTAATATAACTAATGTTGATTTATTTTTCTAACATTTCAGCAGATAAACTGTTTAAGATATTGCGGTTGTTTCTCTAATTGTCAGAATTATGAACTTCGGTGATAAAAAAAAGCATGTACCTCAAGTTATGTTCGATAGTCGTCTCCGAGTGAAATCGGTTTCTTTAGTTCCAACCTCATCTGTAGTCTAAAAAATGCATAGGCCATCACTACAAGAGTCCTAACTTGTTTGATGTTTTTTAATCACGGGTAGGTTTCTCCGAAACCGGTCCCACTTATTGACAAGTCGTAAATCAAATGACATAGAGATTAACGTTTATTTTCGACGAAATTTATAATTTTAATAGCTAGAGAAAAAAAAATTGTATTTTAGAAGGCATACTACTGTTTACTGAGTTTTGAAAATTACAAAATGGTTATGCTAAGATACTTTTATAGTATTTTTCAAAAAATTACTTTTTCTTGCAATTACGAGTAAATGGACTTACCTCCCTTATATACTTTTGCAGACCTTCGATACCATAGTTTCGGATAACAAACCACAGTTTCAATGCACGAAAACGTCTACTTAAAGGAATTCCCCAGTGCTATTGAAAACATAAATGCTACGTTTAGCTATATAGTAATCTTTATGATCACTAACATATTCTAAATGGTTAAAAGAAGCTACTGTAAATATCTACAAGAGAATAAACAAGTCAGTGGTCATAATTCTACATAGTTTATAATATTTCAGTTTAATCCTCTAATTATCAAGAAGATTGCTAATATTGTGAATGTCTTTATCAAACTGACGAAGCATAAATTATAATTAATTCACTTGTCATTGGACACTAGTGTTAGACTTATTCTATTTTTTAACATGACATTCTATATCTATTCCTTTAGGGATTTTCAAAAATTAGAAGAATATACAACAACAGTGTTCCAACTATAATATGCTAGCCGTATCCATTACTGACGATACGTTACACTCAATTCAATTCTTGAAAACACCTAAAGGACTAGAAATAGAAAAGGGTTAAAACAAAAAAAAAGCCTAGGTCCGAATTTTAATGACAAGTAA